ACTACACAGGACGCTACGACTATCGAAAGTGGCACAAGTACAAGGGGCTTTGCATTGTTCCTCAAGAAGCTGCCTCACCGAGGGGCACATATCAAGTTCATCGGTAGAGTGACGTCATGCCGAACGCGGAGATGAAGAGAAACATGCGAGACACTTCGGACCGGTGTCCGTCGTTGAAGGCATGCCGCGAGGTTCGATACCTAATAGGGAAAGACCGGCTACGTCGGTGTGGCATGGAGCGATGCGCGTGCTTGGACGAGCGGCGTCAAGTGGCCCTATTGTTCGCCGAATGCGGAAGATGTCCCGAGATCTACGCGCGAGGCATCGGGACGACCGTGCCGAGCTTCGAGCAAGTGTCGCGCACCGTCGAAGATGTCGAAGAGTGTCGAAGGCGAAATCGAAGTGTTGGGAGACTGAGTCGAAGTGCCTGGCGGGATGCGACTGCCGAAACGAGGTGTATCGGGGCCCAGAGGGGCTTGGCGCCTATCAACGGGTACGGCAGCTTCAAGTTCCAGGAGTCTAGCCATACCAGCTGACCTTTATGGAAGGAACCCCCCTTCCTTTTTACTCTCTTGGCCAGGACGTTCTGGGCCATCTTCATTGCTGCATGTGCTTCTTCGCGGATGTTTTGCAAGTCCTTGAGGCGATAAGCTGCTTGGGGTGTGTTTGATCCGGGGTGCGCGGTGGGTATTCCACGAGGTTTGTATCCCATCATGAGTTTGAACGGGGACGCCTTCGTCGTGGAGTGCTCGCGGGAGTTGTGAGCAAATTGCGCGGTGTGAAGATGGTCAGCCCACTTATCCGGGTCATTGGCAGTGAAGCAGCGGAGGTAGATCTCCAGCTCTTGGTTCACTCGTTCTGTCTCGCCGTCGGTTTGCGGATGGAATGCTGTGCTCATGGCTGATTGGACCCCAGTCATTTTGCAAAGTTCCTGGAAGACTTTGGATGCAAATTGCGGTCCTCAGTCACTGATGATCTTGTCTGGGAGTCCAAACCACTTGTAGACCTCTCGGTACATTGCGTCTACCATCCCAAGAGCATCAATTGTTTTGTTGCATGGGATGAAAATTACCCCCTTCGTAAGGTCGTGGTCCACTACGACCAAAATGGAATCAAAGCCATTGGACGGTGGTAAGTCCGTAATGTAATCACACGAGAATGTGCTGAAGGGCTTGGCATTTGCGCGGGGCCGAATGGGGGTGATGGGTGGTCGGGCTGGATGCGTGTTAACCTTCATTTGCTGGCAGATGCCACAGCCGTTCACATAGCGAGCAACAAACTGGGCCATGCTCGGCCACCAGTAGTCACGGCGCAAGCCGAGGAGGGTTTTCTGAACACCGGGGTGTCCTGTGGAGGGGAGGTCGTGATAGTGGGAGACAAGACGTTTGCGAAGAGACTCATCTGGGGGTACATAAACCCGATCCTGGTATAAGAGGAGGTCATCATCGATAGACCAGTCTGTTCCAGTGCGTGGTGCTCCTCCGGTGCGCGCCACAGTGAGTCCTTCTTTCATTATTGGGTCGTCTTTGAAGGAAAGGATGGTGTCGCGGGTGTCGATGTCGATGACAGCGACCCATACTTCCGGTGGGAGCATAACGACGTCGGTGTTGTCATTTGAGCCGTCGTCATGGTCGGGTCGGCGGGAGAGAGCGTCGCTCTGCACCATTTGGGTACCAGGAACGTGCACCAGGCGGAAGTCAAACTCGGTCAGTTTACTTGCCCAGCGTGCTTGTCGTCGGTTCATGTCTTTGGCCTGCTTCCAGTATGTGAGATTCTTGTGGTCGCTGAGAATCGTTACTGGGTATGGGCTGCCAATGAGGTAGTGCCTCCACTCATCTAGTGCGCGGATGACCGCATATAATTCCCTGTCGTAGATGTCGTAGTTTCTTTCAGGCGCATTGAAGCTCTGGGAGAGGTATCCGCAAGGATGCCAATCGCCGTTGTCATCACGTTGGCGTAGCACCGCTCTGGTGGCAAACTTTGAGGCGTCGGTTTCGATGGCGAAGGGTCGGTCGGGGTCCGGCATACATAGTACCGGTTCTTCTAGAAATGCCTTTTTGAGGGTCTCAAAGGCTTTCTGTTGGTCAGATTCCCAGGTCCAGGCGACGTCCTTCCGGGTGAGAGCAACCAACGGTTGCACTTTGTCCGAGAAGCCTTTGATAAACCAGCGGTAAAAGTTTCCAAATCCAACGAAGGCGCGTACTTGCCTGAGGTTGGACGGCACCGGCCAATCTGCAATGCCAGCTAGTTTGACGGGGTCCATTGCGATTTCTCCTGGGCGGATGATCATGCCGAGGAATTCGACTTCGGTGACGTCGAAGGCACATTTCTCCGGTTTGAGGTAGAGGTCGTGTTGTCGAAGTCGTTCAATAACACGTCGTGTTCGTTCTTCGTGTTCTGCCTTGTTCTGGGAAAAGATCAGGATGTCGTCCATGTAAATGCAAAGCCAGCCTTCTTGAAGCATGTCTGCGAATATTGTGTTCATCATCCGCTGGAACGTAGCGGGAGAATTACACAGCCCAAAGAACATCACCATTGGTTCGTACAGCTGCGGCGGTTTGCCATCAGTTCCAGGTACGATGAATGCTGCCTTCCATTCGTCTCCTTTCTTGATTCGGACATTGTTGTATCCGGCGCGGAGATCCATCTTCATGAACATCTTGGTGTGCTTCAACTTGTCCAGGAGGTCTGATATAAGCGGGAGCGGGTATCGATCCTTGACCGTGTTCTCATTGAGCAGCCGGTAGTCTTGGCAGGGGCGTAGTGAACCGTCCTTTTTACCAACAAAGAAGAATGGACTCGCCAACGGGGATTTTGAAGGGCGAATGTACCCTTTACTCAGGTTCTCCTCGAGGAATTTGTCGAGTTCCTTTCATTGCTGCGGGTTGAGCGGATAGACCTGTTGCTTCATGTCCGCGAAGCCCTCCTTGAGGTTGATTTCGTGGTCATATTCGGTGTGGTCTGGAAGTCACGCAGCCGTGGCTTTGTCGAAGACAGGGAGGAGATTGTGTAGGTAGGATGGTACCATCTGTGGTAGTGTTCTTTCTGTCTTGCCTTGGGCGTTCGAGGCTGCAAGTTCGGTGGAAGTGGTGACGCGCCTAATGTCGTGGTGGACCTTCCAGATCATGCCGTTGTGAAGTCGTTTGTAGCCAGATGAGGGTTCAGGGAGTCGCTCCTTGAGCGGAACGTCCCTCACTGCCAGGGGTTCCTGTTTCTTGTACTTGGTGATCATCGGCGCTCCAGATAAGTAGGAAATGATGAACTCATCATCGTCGATGTCCTCCGCTTGTTCCTCGATGGACGCAATACCCGTTGACCCAAACCCATCCTCCCCACATTCAGTTTCGTCGATGCAGTCGGTTAGTGTTACTGGTGGAGTGTCACGAGTTGGTATGGCATCTAGCCGTTTTTTAATTTTTTCCTTTTTGCGGGCTCGAACCCGCGACCTCTGTACTACATGCCTGATATGGACACATCGCTATCTACTGTACGATTAGATTAGATGGGGCGGCAGTGCGCGGCACAGCTCGGGCTCCGCTGACACAGCCTCTCTGACTCACTGGCCCCCGGGGCCGCGTCAGCATGCTGCGCACGGACCAGCTGTGCACGGACCAGTGCGCACAGCCTCCCCTAAACTTCCCCTGTATATAAGCCGGCCTCTGCTGCCCTAGGGACCTCAGTTTCGACCTCTTGTCCCTAGGTCAGTAAGCATCCTTTGTATTCCTTTTCTTACCTCACTAATATATTATCTTGTCCCTAGC